TGGATTCATGGACTTATAGACAAGACTGTACGGTTCTGTCTAACTCTGCAGGGATTGTTGCAGTGTTTTGGGACCATTATCTCACCATGTTTCACTGTCATTGGTGCTCCTTTCTCTATGTGCGCATGTACGCCTTCAAAAAGTACTCTTACCTGTTTTTTTTTTTTTACTCTCAACCTAACTTGTATGATCTTAAACCGCCATTTTGATTCAGTCCCATTTTGAAAATTACTTTCAACCTACTTGTATAATCTAAGCCATTCATAAATTTGGGACGGAACGACGGATGGAAGGGGCCATTCTAATCTAGCACCTCGTATCTCTAGATTGGACTCTCACCAAATTCCTAATAAGTGGGATCCACTGATGCGAGCCCACATTAAGTCATATTCTACTCTCAGTATTAATTGTATATAGATGATCGATAAAAAATATTTAAGGTATTAAATTTCATTTTTAATAATTAAATCAATATAAAATAATTTTAATAATATAAAAAATTATACTTTTAAAATTAACTTGGAATAAAATTGTATTTTTATTTAGGTCGTGGTAATAAGTTAAATCATTTTGGGCTAAATAGGCTAATCCATGATGTCATAATTAAACCATAAAAATTTAAAATAAATAAAATATAAAATATAGAAAAATAAAGAAAATTTTGGATACATCTATAATAAATAAGAAATATTTTTATTAATAATAGAAATGGAATATATAATGTATTAGCTCTAATTGTCTCATTAAATCCTATAAAAGGTATATTTGTTTCTCCCATTAAATCTACAACCTTAATTTTCATAGTATAAAAATTAGCATTTTGAAAAGTAACCTAAAAAAAAAACATTATATTCATTCCTATCAGTGTGTAAGCGATTAAATCATTTGGTATGTTAATAACATAATGGCAAAGTTAATGTTTTTTTTTAGACAAGTAGCTTGGTGGTAAATGGACCCAGAATTTTGCTCAACTAACAAATTAACCACTAACCAATTGATTTGAATATAAGATTAGAACCACTAATTAAAAACCATATTTTAATCTAACAAGTCAAATGTGAGATTCATAAAAATAAATAATAACAATCAAAATATAACATTTTTTATAAAAATCATAAAAGAATTAAACATGYTTTTAATATTATATATTCCTCATATTAAAAAAAATATATATGAAAAATGAGATATATTTTTATTAAAGATGAAAATGGCTAAAAATATAAAACAAATTAATGTCTTACCCATGTTCTATTGACTTGGTCAAACAGGTCAATAGGTTAACAAATAAAAGGAAATTGCTTTTTAAAAATGTTTGATTGAAACAGGCTTTTGATTAAATTTGTATTGATGTTAACTCATTCAATTCATTTATTTGTTTCAACTACAAGTTAGAAAACATTGACATAAAATACAAATGAGAAGATTTAAAGCTAAGTTTTTAAGTTGAAAGACAACAAAATGACTAGTACACCATGTTTTGATGACTGGTATTTGTTGCCATAAGATTACTATAAACACACATGTGCAAACTTGGCTATGTGTCAATTAAAAGTCAACATACCGGTATTTGATACACATGGGTCTTATACATAATACATAAAGTACCTTTAAATTTTAGGAAATTGATTAATTTTACTCCTATTGTTTATATATTATCTTAAAGTAATCCAAGATTATTACTCATTTTGTCAATATTTTCAATTGGTCTTAGTAGAAAGGCAAATGCCATTTCTCTTCTGAACAGAATTTCTCCTCTAGGACTCAGAATTCTAACAATGGACATGGAACTAATTATGGACAATACTTTAAATCATAGCAGTTCACTCCGGTCATTTATTAGTTGTGTAGCTATTGTGGCCATATTGTTCTTACATGTGGACACTGCTTCGACAAATCTTACTATGGAGCCATGCACATCCATTGGTCAATAGAAAGGTTGTTAGTCGTATGCCCTAAAACCAATTGTATGACACTATAGATGTGCAATTTTTGAACTATTCACATTATTAATAAAAGGGCATTTTCGTCATTTATATTTGCAAACTTTTACTTTCATATAAATAGCCCATTGTTTCTTTGTTAAATAAACATATTCTTAAGTATGTTTGAAATTTGAGATATGTTTCAATTGAAACAAAGATCTTAAAATGGTTCTTAGTCATAGGACTATCAAGAGGCCTTTGATAGTCCAAATAGACTAGCACACATTATGCTGGTCTCATGGTGTGATGAATCTCAAGTCACTTATGTAGGACACTAAAATAAATTTGTGGGTGCTTATTAGAGAGAAGGTTCATTGAACATGACCCATAATAGATACATATATGAAATCATTAGCCAATAAATGTTTCTAACATTCCAATTATGCAGATAATCCTTAGACCAGGGCATCATGGATATCTTGTGCACGGGGCATTATGGCTTCATGGTGCAAATACTTCTGCCCTAACCAATAGATTCAAGCATACACATATCAGCCATAGTGTCCTATACATAAATGTCCTTGGCCAAGGCAAAATAGTATATGGAAAGGGTTCCAAGTATCACCATATCAGTCATCATTAGTCTAATGAAACATGATTAATTATTAGATTTAAAAATTTAATAACTTCCATAATTAATTATTGTTAATTTACATTGGTTTTTGATAATAATTAAATTGGAAAAATATTAGGAAATTTTCATGCTAACAATTTACATTTGGTAATTATTAATAATTTCCATTGTTATTGGTAATTTACATTGGTTTTTGGTATTTATTAAAAAAATTTAATTTAATCATTTCTATAAACCAATTTCATGTTTTTGGTAATTTAATTTAGTGAAAGTTAATTTATAAAATTCTAATTTCTCAAAAATTTTGACATTTTTAGTAGTTAATTGTTCATAATTTTAGAATTTTTTGAAAAGTAATTTATTCATATAATTATTTCTACCGAGGATTTTTAAGATATTCAAGTTTTTCTTTCTATTTTTGTATTTTTTGTTATGAAGACAATGATAAATAGAGATTTTTTATTAATTTTGTTTTAAATATCCTTGCTAAAGTGTTAGCTAGTTGGTTGTTAGGGTCTCCTACTGGTTGTAGTGGAGACATAGGATTGAATCCCACTTGCACTAGGGTTGGAGGCTTTATAGGTTTGGGGATGATCCCTCTCCCTTGGTTGTATAGCCCCATGGAGTAACAATTTTTAAACCTTCCCTATACATTGATCTTTGAAAAAAAAAAAAAAACTGACATCATTTAATCAACTTTTTGACTTTGCCATGAATTGCAGAGGACCTTGCTAGTTACACACTAAGGCTGTGTTTGGTTTGAAGGAAAGAGTAGGGAAAGGAAGGGAAACCTTTACAAACCTTGTATAGGTTGTCCTACCTTTCCCTACTTTTTACTTCAAACCAAACATAGCCTAAATGAAAGTGTAAGAGATTGAGAATCCCATGGAGATATGGTTGCATTTGATGCGTGTGTTAGGGGATGTTTAACCAATAAAGATACTCCATGTCACCTAGCAGTTAGTATATATACCCCAAAACCACTCCAATCTCTTGAGGTCGGATTTCATCCTCACACCTAGGGGTGAAAGTGGATTGGATCATAATTCGATCCGAAGTCCAACCTATCTTGTCAGATTCAAATATCCCTATTTTGGATTTTCAGATCAAATCGAATTCAGATCACCCCCAATCTGATCTTATATATATATATATATATATATTATTTATTTATAAATATGTTATTTATATTGCATTTTTGTAAATATTTTTATATTATCTCTTTTTTATAAAAACATGTATATATATGATGAAAATAATTTTAAAAAATACTTGTGGTTTTTGTTTTTTCTTTATTTAAATTGTTATATTTTCTTTTCCTTTTAATAACTTATTAATATTTTAAATGTTAAATCAGATTCAGATATCTGACATCCTGATCTAATTCAAATATACCTTGATTCAAATTCAATCTGACTTATCATATCAAGTCTACTTTATCACTTGCTGCCCAATCAACCACAACTGAACACACCGGTATATTGTATCCTGAAACCTAGAGCAATTAGTAGGGAACACGAGTCCGGATCACCTGTCAACAAAAAACATCCCAACACGCTTCCGATATCAACTCACACTGCATATATTATGCATAGTGGGTCCCAATTTTGTAGTGAGATGTATAGTGTTAGATCACGTTGGTAGGTGACCCCAAATTAGGGGACACTGGCGTATTCACTTGTAATTGGTTATGCAGTGTTCAGCTTCAGTTAGTGCTTTATGCATTCAAGCACCATTCGAACATTAGGAGAGAATGACATGCATCCATAGGCATGTGTACATTCTGTATTCGTGCGAGGATGGTAAGCGGACGTTATAGCACAAACGCCGTTAGCCATTCCTCGATTCAAAACAATTTTCTCTTTTCCATTCCCTTCTTTTCCATGTCTCTCTACCCAAATCGATCCACCAAACCCCTGTTCTGCTATCATCTCCAATTGGCAAAGACAAAACATCACCGGCGGTGAAATCTTCCACCGACAACCGGCGACAGAAAACAGATAAATCTTTCTTCTTCTTTGCTTCTCTAAAACACAGTCTTCTCTCATGAAAATCCTAGCCTTTACTATTGATGGCAGTGATATTCCACCGGCAACGAATGGATTCATCTGCGACTGATCCGCCGGCAACCGACATATTACGAATATAGCATGCACACGCGCCTATGGACGCATGTCTTTCTCTACTAATGTTCGAACGGTGTTCGAACGCATAAAGCATTGACTGAAGCCGAACCCCTCAAAAACCGCCGGGCGAAAAAGAGTAAATAAATCCCGAACAGAGGTTAAAAGATAGCTAAAAAAACAAAGAATTCCATTATTGAGTAAAATCCAACAAAGCCTGTTGTATACCACCATATAGAAGACGCGGCACGCCGTTCTATTCTCAACCTCACCTCGATCCGCGTGTCATACATACATCCACAGCTCCACAGCTCCACAGCTCTCAACCTCTTATATAAACACCTCATATCCCCACCCAGATTGCACAAAACATCTTAGACCCAAATCAATATCTTCATATCTGCCTCATGGCGTACAGGTACAGATCTTCTGCGTTTTTGGTGGCTTCGCTGTTTCTCTGTCTGTGTTGCTCTCTCAGTCTCAGGGCCGTTGTTGGAATAAGAGACATTGTAGGAGGAAGAACCGACGTCAAAAATGTCAAGTGCAACCACGAGATTCAAAAACTGGGGAGGTTTTCGGTGGAGGAATTCAACAGAAGAAAGCAGCAGGAAGAAGTAGTGTTACTGCATGGACAAGGCACGAGCAATAGTGACGACGGTGAGCTGGTCTTCTCGGAGGTTGTAATGGCGGAGAGACAAGTGGTGTCAGGTATCAATTACTACTTGCATATCGAAGCTTTACAGCATGGAATGACTAAGAGGTTTGATGCTGTAGTAGCTGTGAAGCCATGGCTACCGTCTAAGCAGCTGCTTGCCTTCTCTCCTTCCACCAATTACACCAAATAGTTTTGGTTATTATAAGTGTAAAGCATGATCGCGCAGGCGCGATATATATATATATATATATATGTTTAATCTTCTCTGCGATTTAGGGCTTTTGTATGGTCGTTTATTAATTGCTTTTCCTTTTGGGAAACGGAGAGGTTGATGTTAATGTGATGAGTGTAGTCTTGTGAATGTTTTTTCTTATAGTAATAATAAAACTTATAAAATATTTGATATGAGGTTCCAAAGCAAATTTTAATTGAAGTGGATGAGCTGAATCGATCGCTTATTGTTTTGTAGTTTAGTACATAAAATAATTAAATAATAAAATATTATTTCATGTCAGTCCAGTCTCAGCATACGGACATTAAGACAAAGCATTAAGCCATTCAGTACATATCCATCAAGAACTTGCCATGAGGCCCGGTGGGTTGGGTTGGGTGTTGGTACATTGATCCACTAACCCATTTGACTTCACCCATTTGACCCTCTTATTGACACCCTAACCCACCTTTTTACCCTCTAACCCTTTTTTCACTTCTATCTATTCTAATTGTTTAAAGGCATACAACTATATATTTAAACTACAAAAACCATAAAATATATAAAAAAAAATCAATTTCTTTAAAATGAAGATAAGTGCATAAAACACAATAAATGGCAAAAGAATATGTCTCGTAAAAAATCAGAAAGTGCAGAAAAAACTTAGAAAATAAGAAAAATGCATCAAAGTATAAAAATTTGCAAGAAATGCAAAAACAAATACAAAAAACATTTGCAGGAAAACACCAAAAAAATGTAGAAAATGGACAAATTGATAAAATTATTGACTGAATAACAAAAACTCAGACAAAAAAATAAAAAAATTGTAGAATAATAAATAAAATAATAAAAAATTCAAAATTTTATATATTTCAACTAAAAAGAATAATCACAGGAAAAAGATACAGAAAATTATAACAAAATTTTCCAGAATTATATACCTCAGGTAAGAACAGAAAAAATTACAAAAAGCACATAAAATGATAACTTTTTTTCAAAAAATATATATTCGAGTTAAAGATTAGGATTAGAATAAATAAGAGGTCACAGAAATAATCACTTATTTACTCTTGCTTGCCCAGTTCCTCCTCCGTTCAATCGCCGCCATAATCTTATATGTTCAATTGCCAGAATCCTCTCCTCTATTCAACCGCTAACATCAAAGGTCACATTAGTGTCGTTGATTCAAAGCTTAGGGAGAAGCTCTGTAACAGCTCTGAACGACGGTGAGAACGGCAACAACGACTTGAGAGATTCCTAAACGGAAACAATGAGATTGTCAATTTAGTTCTAGTTTAGTATTTTCGAAAAATCAAAGGAGTGGTTCGATTTTCAATTAATCTTGAAAAAACTAACAGCTAACCAAACATACTGGTATATATATTTATATGTATTTTATATATAAATATATATGTATTATATTTAAATATATACATATCTTATATTTATAATTATCTATTCATAATATCTAATATATTATATATATTATAACATTTATTATTTATAATATTATATATATTTATAATATGTTATAAATATAAAAAATCGAAATATCAAAGAACCAAACCGGTTAAAAACTGAAACCAGTCAACCAATTAACCGGTCGTACCAATTAGGTTTGGGTCTGGAGAAATGAAAAACTGGTAAGTTCGGCTATAGAAAATTGTCCATGGTTCAATTAATGGAACCGTGAGAACCCTACTACTTACCCATTTTATGTCCAACGAATTATAACCATCTTTCTTGGGTAGGAAAGTTTCCTTTGGTCGTTTCCCTTGTTCCCTCTTATAGTAACACCTTTCCAATAGAGGAGACCTGAAGTCCTCCACACGAGATCATCTAGAAAGAACTATGAGAGTTCTAACAAACTAGCCTTCTGCTTCCCCCAAAATACTTTGTTACTTTGTTCTAGCCTACACCTCCACATACCTCACCTCTTCAAGTAGACCTCCCTCGTAGCCTTACCTCATCACTCACATTTAGAATCTCTAATTATTCCCCTGATTACAGAAATGGCCATCAAAAGAATCAACCTCACCCCAATAAGTGAGGAATGTACTAAAAATGAAGAGGTTCCAAGAACGAGAGAAAAAACCCAACTCCATATTAACTCTAAGGATGCCACCGACATTAAAATCCTCCACAAGCCGCTTCAATGAACTAGAGGAAAACCTGAATGCTATGCAAACGATTCTTTAAAAAGTCGACCGCATCAACCAACTGGAGAGGCAACAAGTAGAGATGAAGGAGATGTTGCAACAACTCCTCTAGTATCCCCAGCCATAGTCCTTGGCTCCAGAAATCCCATCATTCACTCCAGTCAGGTAGTCCACTCAACCCACTGTACATCCCCAAACCACTACACCCAAAACACCAGAACCCCAAGCCTTTAACATCCATGGTTCTGCCTTTTCGATAGGCAAAATGGGCCATACCACCCACATCTTGATGCCAACCCCTACAGTTACAACAAATGGGAGAAATCGCACTCCCTGAGGCACCCATGAGCAAGATCAAGCTATAGGAGTATATCCAAATCATGATAGAAGCCAGCTAAAGCAAATTCCAGGCCTTTATCACCTTTTAGAAACCTTACTCCAGTTGGATCCTCCATAAATCATGCTTTGCACACTATTACCCATCCCATCAATGGCCCCTGTATGACGGACAAAAGGGAAGTCCCCAAGAACATATCAGTAAGTTTGAGGAATCCCTAGGTCTTTTGCCCTCGACGGGGACCTAAAAGCCCGAGAATTCTCTAAATCTCTGACTGGGCCAGCATATACCTGATTCATAAACCTAACACTAGGAAACATAAACTCATGGAAAGAATTGGCCGAGAAGTCCTTGACCAAGTGGTTTACGTTTGAGTGACACCTCAATATGGCTAGCTTGTGCAATGTCGAGCAATAGGCTCTAGGGAGGACCTCCTCGCCTACATGATGCGGTTCCAAAAGCTTACCCACATGGTGTTTGACGAGCATGCCACAGAGAAAGACTTTGTATAGTAGTGTGTCTAGGGGATGTAGCTTGCCTACCAAATTGGTATAGAGAACGTTGAGATAGCGAATTTTAACCATCTCTGAAGATGCATAGAGAGAATGGTGATAACCATCGCAACCCCAACCTCCCAGTAGTAGAGACCCCCATCATAGTATCATCAACCACGGCAAGAGGCATATGTGGTAGATAGGAGACAATACACCAATCGTGGAATGGGGAGGGGCCCTTACACCAGATCTAGAGGCCAAATCAGGCAAATGATGGGCCACCACCTCCTTTTGGCTGCAGTAAGAACAAAGTCTTACTCACTATGAACAAGCTAGTAGAAGACCAAGCCATCGAGCTACCACCCCGACTTCCCCATGTTAACCCAGAAAGAGATAGACATGAACCTCAGTGGTATGATTTCCACCAATCCACCACACATGACCTCATGGACAGTTACAACTTGAGGCGAATTTTCGTCGCCAAGGTTAAGTTGGATGAACTTCTCAAAAGGCACCTGACACAAGTTGAGAGCAATCCTCTTCCCAATCACCTCCAAGGGGGCATCATAGATGTCGTTAGTGCAGTGAATTACATCAAGCAAGGCACAAACAACGTGGTGCAAAGAGTTGTAATTCAGGCTTTAATTGAGGTCTTTAGAAATCCAAAGGAGTATTGCAATGTCAACAAGTTCAATGTTGAATTCTCAGAAGATGATATTGTCACAATGAATCCAGACCACAACAGACCCATGTATGTTGGTGCCTGAGTAAATCACTACAAGATGCGATGGGCTTCTATTGATAAGGGAAGCTCGGTCAGCCTCATCTCAACACATACACTGTGACCAATGGGAATCCTAGGTGACTTTGTAAGAGGACAATTGATGGAGGTGGTAGACTTCAATGGCAACATATCAACAACTTGCAGCTCCATCTTGTTACCTCTATTCATTGGCCCCTTCTTTACCACTCAAGAGTCCAGGCGATCCCCATACATATAGCTTACCATGTTCTCCTCGAGTAACCTTTGATCCATCATCACCTTTTGACCTTAGTGTCGGATTGTCAGCGGCGTATTTATATTCGCCACTAAATATACAATTTTTTGCGGCAATTTTATAAAAGCGCCACTATAAATATGATAGAGCGCCAATTAATTTAGCGGCACTTCGGAAAATACCACAATATATATTTTGTTAGTGGCAATAGGCGCCACTAAATACCAATAGCAGTTGCTCATTAAACAGTAGAGGTATAAAGTGGGCCGGCCGTGTCGGACCAACTCCCAAACTTTTCACTAGGGAGGTCGGCACGACTCATGATGGCCTGTGGGCCATTACGAGCCGTGCTACCCTCCCTAGTGAAAAGTTTTGGGGGTTGGCCTGGCATTGTCCAAGCCCGAGCGGGCCCATGTTATGCTGTGGGCCAGGTTGGCTCGTGGGCCAAGTCTTGGCCCAAGCTAGGCCACAGACCGGGCCAAAGATATTTTTGTCTATTTATTTAAAAAAATGGAAAAAAACTTAAAATTTTAATATTATGAATTTTATGTATACAATTGCTTTTATATATAATAATTAAATAAATTAGTATAATAAAATTGAAAACAATTGTTTATTTTATTAATATATTATGTACTATATATTATTATATAATTATAATTTATATAGTATATTATATATAAATATTATATATATATAATATATATATAAATAATATATATGGGTCGTACTGGGCCGTGTCACAGGCCGGGCCGTGAGCAGCAAGGCCCACTTGGTTGTACTGTACTGACCTGGCCCATAGACCTAAAATCCTAAGCCTAGCATGACACAGACCATCGTGCTGGGCCTGGCACGACCCACGTGCCATCATGTCGGACTGTGTTGGGCCGGTCCAGAGTGGGGTCGGTCCGCAGGTGGCACGGGTATTTTGCTCTCTATTAAACACCTAGATCAACGGCTTGGATCATTTTAGATCATTTAACAAATGAAAATAAAAAAAAAACATATTGCGCGGGTTTTTTTGCCCGTGTTGAATGAAATCCTCCACAATATTCGACAATTGAGTTATTCGTCGTCCCCAACTCCACTCTGCTTTCAACTCAAGAATAACAGACGGTTTCTTTCTTTCTAGCTTCTTCTTCTTCTTCTTCTTGTCTACAATGGAATGGGTAAAGCTAATGGTTGGAACCGATTAGGGTAATCACGTTTTATGTTAGTGCATGGTTGATGAAATCTGGAAAATTTTATTTTTAACCTTTTGTCTTCTTCTTTGCAATCAAACAGGGCAACCTCTTTTTCTTCTTGTCTGCAATCGAGTAGGTAATGTAATCGTTGAAACCAAACAAGGCAACCACACCACACTTTATTTGTTCGTGATTACCCTATTCGGTTTCAATCGAATAGGGTAATCACGTTTTTTGTTTGTGCATCATTGATGAAATCTGGATTTTTTTTTTGACCTTTTGCCTTCTTCTTTGCAATCAAACAGGACAACCTCTTCTTCTTCTTGTCTACAACCGATTAGGTATTGTAATCATTGAAACCGAACAGGGCAACGGAAGAGTGACCGTTTGAATCATTTAAGCAAGGTTGCTTGACCCTCCGTATTCTAAGGTGCTTAGTATACTGTTTACATTGGTTTCCGTAGATTGCTTCAGAACTGAATTCTGATTTCTGCATTTCTTACTTGACCCTTCGTATTCTCTATGTTTATATTGCTCTTAGATCTGAGTAATTTGTTAATTGTTGTAAAGTAAATCCAGTTCATGCTGAGTTTGTAAGCTGAGCAATTTGCATAGTTCTTTGGCTTTATTTTGAATGATATTTTCGTAACGTTTCTATTAGTTCTTATAACAGATGGATTTATAAACTAATATTTATACCTTAAAATCAACAAATAAAAATTTTGTTTTTTATTAGTTTTACTCTCCAAGGGTCCTTTGGTTGGGAGGAGAAATAAGGAAGAGAATGAACAAAAATAATAGTAGGGGCAGAGTTGAGAGACCGATGAATAGTACTTTTACTTGGATTTAATTGTCTTATTTATCTGTGAAGAATAAAATAAGAAGAAATGATTAGTTAGGATCAGAAATGATTTAATTGTCATATAGTTGGGAGACTTAGATGATGATGATGATGCTTATAGAAACATGACATGCAATTCTGAAATAGATGGTTGGTTGATTCTAGAAAATGTAGATTTTTTTTTTTAAATTCCAGAAAATGATTAAGGTTGTTTTCTTTTTTTTTCTTTTCTGTGTAGATCTCCTAACCGAATGATGGTTGCCCAATATCTGACATGTTTTCAGTTAAAACTACTTTCTGTTATAGACAACCTTGGTTTATCCCAAAGATACTTAGATTTATTCATTCAAACCTTATTCTCTAAGACCAATTAATATGTAGGGTCCATGCAACAAACAGATTGCATCTTCTCCTGAGTTACCTTCGTTCTATGTGCACATTCTGGTCATTTCTTGCCTGGTTTGAATATCGTTTGCTATTATGGTAGCCTTCTATGGGTCCAACCATCTTTTGTTTTAATGGTTAGCTCATATGGGCCAGCTATACACTTGGTTAGCGATTTAGGATTAGGCTAGTGGAGATAGATAACAGGCCAGGTATTGGTAGCTAACGAGTGTTCAAAAGAGGTAAAGAGGATGGATTTCACTGAGTAAACAGTTTTCAGTGAGCTCATTTTATAACAGTAACTTGTCTTAATGAATCAGTAACTTGTTTTAAACTCTTAATACTTTTGATCAGTGTTCACTTCAAGGTGTTGGGTTGGGCTAGAACTGGAATGGATTAGCCTAGTGCATCAGACCATAATTGTCACCCATAGTCTCCTTAAGCATTCCTGATCTCTTGGGTTGAGAAATAAGAACTCACAAATTGATGAGCTATGGTTCAATGAATTTCATTCATTCATATGGTTGATTCTATTTTAAGTATTAAATAAATTATATATAACTTTTATAAAAAAACCTATATTTTTAAGGAACCTAGTCTTGATATGTCTTTCTCACATTCCTTAAAAAAGCCTATATTTTTAAGGAAGCTATTTCTAAAATATTTTTAAATAATTAGAGGGCTAGAGATCTATTAAACTGTTTGTAGGATTTTGTTCTCTAGGCCATCTTCACTCACTGATAGTCTATTGGATTTATTCTTAGTTTGATGTAAGTTGTTCAGGAGGGTTTTGGTTTCTTCCCCAGATCTCCAGAACTCACCAACTTCCATGTAGCAGGAATGACATGGTCAATTCTGTAGTAAGCTGGTCCAAGCCGGATTTGTCCACATTATCTCTGTTCCCCATTATGAAGTACAGTGAGAGAGCAATAGAGGGCTTAGCGGTTTAGAGATTGATATAGCAAATACATTATACATGGGCTGAGGGCTGGAACTGTATGAGATCTTGTAGGATTGCCATAAATGTCTGTGGGTAGGACCACTGGTGTCAATGGGATAAAAAGGCTTTTCACCTCTGCTCTCCATTTTCAATGGCAGGTATGACAGCAGGCAGCAGCTTTCAAGACCTTTCACTCAACATTGATCAGTAGATTCAACCTTACAACTAGAATCATGTTCATGGTGCTTATAACTAGGTAAACCGACCAAAGAGATCTACAAACTCCTTCAATATAAAATCCCCATTCTTTGCTCAATTATCCAGATTTTGCATATCTATTATCCAGTTTTGCTACAAGAGAAGTATTACTAGGGATGCAACTTGGATGGACTGGGCTAGGTTTCAACCCAGACACAATCTTGCAACCTGGACCTTAGGCCTGAACCTGGCCTGCCTAACCCAGGGTCAATTCTTCTTCTGTTTTTTTTTCCTCTATGAAGCACCCTTGGAGATCAGAAGGTTTTGCTGATTGGTGCATTACAGTATAAAAGCTGGTCCAAACAGTGGTAAGATTGGACCAGAATGGATGATCGAATCAGTGAACAAATTTGAAACCCAAACACTAGAGTTTGTATCCCCTGCCAACATGATCCAACACTGCCCATTTCATACATGGTGAGACTGCTGTGTTGAATCATGTTGGTAGAGTACTGGAACGTGATTTGTTGGCAGGACAGGAGATCCCAACTCTGTTAATGTTGGGTCCATGTGTATCAAAGTGGCCAACTAGCCATAAGAGACAGCTTAGGTGTTATGAGCACCTTTACATCATGCTTTACATAGACATTTATTATTTTTTTGGTACTATGAAGTCAAAATGCCTAAATGATTAGTGCACTGATACATACATAGGCTATGATGATGACCTTCTGCCTATGTTTCTTGTCCTATATGTTGGTTGATACACTGCTGGGCACGGATGCTGGCTAAGCTATTCTTTTCAGGCTCAAATTCATCAGATGGTGTTATCTTTCCACCCCTTGCCCTTGTTTGGCCTCTTTATTAGAAGACTTAAAAGTCTGATAAAAGTATTTGGAAAGTGATAGGAATGAAATATACTAAATAAAATCAAGGTTCAGAATATCAACACTCACGATACCAAAAAATTGAGTATTGTGCATGCCAATTGCTTGATGCTCCTTCTTTCTTTCTTTATTTTTTTTTAATTTGCTATTTGAAAATAGGTTTTGTTAACAGCTCAAACTGTTAATATTCCCCTAGTTCTCAATATTTTAAATTTTGGTGGCCTTAGAAACACACTGTATTGGGCATATTGTGTTGATACTTTAATCCTTGAATAAAATTAGTGCTGGCCGTTATCCCTTCAACTAATAGAGGAAAAACAGGATCAATAAAGATGTAGGAAAGACAAGAAAAAAAGGGAAAGAAATAAGGAGAAGACAGAAAAAAACTGCCCTTTCTTTTCTTTATTTATGTATTTCTTTTGACATTTGAAATTTTGTTTGTTTTGATTGACATTCATGACTCAACCAAAAAGAAGAGGAGTTATGTGGAGTCACTATAGCAACAATATTATGGACAGTGTGGGAGAAGAATAACCGACTTTTTAAGGAGCAATGTAGGACAATGGAAGCTCTAATTGAAAGCATTAACTCTGGGTAATTATTGGGTCAAGTCAATGGAGATTTTTATGGACTATTCTGTCGATGATATGATTAGAGGATGCCAGGATGGGGAGTAATAACAAGCTTCTTCCACTTTTAAGATGACAGTCCAAGAAAAGTGGGCTCCATCCAGGAATAATAGGATCAAAATGGATTTTGATGAGAGTTCCTTTGAAAATCCAGAACCTATGGGCATTGGGGGAGTCTTTAGGGGTGAAAATGGTTCAAATGTGGAGCTTTTCTCTGGCCCGATTGAATGTGGAGACTCACTTAAAGAAGAAATTTCATCATTGCTGCAAGGATTGAGGTTAGCTAAACAGCTGAATATTTTTGAGAAGAGGTAAAGTAAATTTCATTACTAAAGCACAAAAAGCAATGTACAACTGGAGGCTGTACAGCTGAATATACAGATGAACGGCTAAACAGCTGAATATAAAGCAACTGGAGGTTGAGGGGGGACTCCATGCTTGCTAGTAGTAGGTTAGATGAATAATAACAGCCACGAGGTTTGGGTACACAGGCAACTAGCTAAACAATGTGTATCTAGGGAACAAATATTTTGGGCTTCATTGTATGTATGATGTGATCAGGGTGGATAGGCTCTTGTGGTGGGAGCTGAGAGGTGTAAAGCATGATGTATAGGATTTAAAAACAAATCCAACCGTGTCCTGAGCACCTTTAGTTGTAAGCTTCATAAAAAGACACGGAAAACATTGTTAAACATCCATCAACACTGTTTATCGGCCAACCATATGATAGACTGTTTGTCTTGGCCTGTGGCCATATGCCCGTCAACACCAATCAGGTATAGTTTTCACCTGTAACCACCAATCAGGTATGCCCACAAGAAGTTGGGACTCATTTAGCTTAAAAAAAAATAATCCTAAACCGAGAAGGTAACCCCAAATTTCTACAATTTGTGCAGAGACTAACCTATTGTGCCGCTGTTGCTGCAGTAAGTTGGTTCGTATATGGAGAGCAGTTGGAATAGCGGTTAGGGGAAAATGAGAAAGGCACCAGAGGAGGTTGGACAAGAGAATGGAGGTAAGGGGGACGGAGTTGCGTGGGGGATTCCAAGCCATTTCCTATTGGATTATTATTACTATTATTATTGGTATTTTTGCTTTTATTTTTGTTGTTATTGCTGTTGCTTTCCAAACCACCGTAGCCGGCTGACAAGGACAGAAAATCACAATTCTGCCAAAACCAAAAAAAATCGTTGGGCTAATCACAATTCACAAGCATCAGAATAAAAGGTATGAGAAAGGCATTAGTGGGTAATGAATATGATCCCACCAGCTTCTGTGAACTGTGAATTCCAGTTGCTACAGAAGTTTGTTGCTGATCTTGCTGAAGCATCTTGTCTGGTTGAATACCAATTAAAGCTTCATTCAGCTTTTAAAACTGAACTTTGATATAGCTACATGAGTAATCCGGGGAGAGCAGGCATACGGGATGTTTTCAGGAACCATTTGGGGCAATTGGAAATGGTGACTCAGTCAGAATTGTTGGCACTTCTGCAAGGGGATTCAAAACTGATTTTATCAAGTGCAATTGGGCACTATAAATCATTGACAGTGGTTGGTAATAATGTCTTAAGCTGCTTGCCTTATAGAACCACGTGGTTGGTAATAATCAAATTATAAAACTTGGTACAAAAGAACAAAATCAATTTCTCAGTATTTGATTTCTTTTCAAGCATGACACATAACCTCCCTCAAACATTCAATTAATGTGAAGTTAAAAGCTTCATTTACTTTTTCATTTATCAACAAAGTTGGTTGAGATCAGTTTTCTTTTTTTTTAAAATGATGTTTTATATGCAATTTACATGACTTTAATTTTTAATTTTTTTCTTTTTTTTTCAGGTTGAATATGTAAACAAGACAACAATAGGCAGATGGGAGCATGATTTGAAGAAGTCATAGTTTTTACATTTTTTTTGGTTTGATATGTAACAAAACTAGTTATTATACATTTATTATGATGGATGTATAGAAACTTTAAAATTTGGATATATATGGATATATTATATTTTGTTATTGAATTATTTGTAGTTTAAAGTTACAAATACAAAAATATGATATTTTGCATCAACAGGTATTACAGGTTTGGCAACTTACGAATTCATTATTATTTAAATTAATCTGTAGAAATTGATACAACGATGGTTATAATCGCTACTATACATCACCTATATCCGCCGCTATAAATATATTAACTTTTATAGTGGTAGATATAACCACCGCCATATATAGAATATACAACACAAAATAGTTTATAGTAGCAGTTATATCTATCGCTATATATTCAATATATGCCACAAATTAATTTATAGCGGCAAATGTAACCACCATAGATATGCCACCAATTAATCTATAGTGACGAATATAATCGGTGTTATATGTATTATATATTCCACAGATTTGCTTATAGCGGTGGATATATAACCGTCACTATATGTTTTATATTGATGAAATATCACTTTTAGTTAGGGTTATTCACGGGTCGAGATGGGTCGGTTTATTGAGATTTTTCCAACTGACCCGACTTGGTCGGGTACCTGAGTTGAAATTGAAACTGACCCTGTGTTAAGCAAAATCGACCTGGTCGGTTTGAGTCGGGTTGGGTCGGTTTGGGTCGATTTCGACTCTAAGTTCAACCATGGTAATAAATTGAAATTTCAAATTTTTGATTCTTGAGAATCAAATTGTATTAGAGATTGTACTTGAGTTGAGGGGCTAAGGGGAGCGGACCAAGTTAGAATAGAAGTTATCAAGAAAATAGAAAGTCAAACTGTATAGAGAAAGAAGACTGAAATTTGTATATTTCAAGAAACCTTCTAATCTAAGTAAAAAATGACACTTAATTCTAATTGTAATTGGTTGCTTATTTGGTGTAAAAGACCATAGAAACTATGATCCTTTGATTCTTTTCTTTAAACTTTTCCAAAAAAGTTCCTTGTCTAGTTGTCTTACAATACTTGCCATTAATGTCATTCATAACTAGAAAACTAGAAATTAAGTTAGGTTGTAATTAGGATAAAGACAACTTAGTTAAGTAGGAACTAAGTAGGTTGTAACTACTAAATAGGAACTAACTACTAAGTCGGTTCGGTTCGGGTCGGTTTATGATTTTTTACAATTTGAAACCGATCGGTGCTGAAAAAACCCAGCTGACTCGGGTTGGGTCGGTCTGGGTTGGTCGAGTTAGGTCTCTTATGAACAACCCTACTTTTAGTGGCGGTTACAAACGCCATTATATCATATACATATGTCGTGATTTTGATCTATAGTGGCGGATTATTCACCGTTATCGATTAATCCGACAATGAATGTCATATTTTTAGTGACATATTTCTRTCGTTAATTGTTGCATATATGCTGCTAAATTATAGGGATTTAGTGGCGAATGTTCTATGCGCTACAATTTACTTTACCAATGCAACTTGTAGTAGCAGAAGTATAACCGCCACTGGTACGCCGCTACACTTATAGTAGCGTATATCGGATGCTGTAGTGGCAGATAGATCTGCCGCTGTAGGTCAGTTTTCTTGTAGTGAATGTATCAAGGAAATGCACATTGCACAGGTTGTACACATTCTGGCAACAAAAGTCTCGTTCGAGAAATTGGAGGCGCATCTACAAGATCTATTACACAAACCTGGCTGATGATGGTGAATCTAGAATCACAAAGATAGAGCGCCAAAAAAAGGACAAACCATCTATCGCACCTCAAAGACAAAGGAAGTGGCAATGATGCGTTAAGAGGTTAAGGTAATAGACCTAGATGGTCATGCATACTACACTTTGGTGAAAGAAGACAACGATAGCACCCCTTCCACCACCAAGAAGCCAAATACCAAGGTGTGATTCTAACATATGTAAATAGCATTCCTTCCTCATGATAATAGCAATAATATTTCTGTAATACAATGTAAAATTTCTTTTTTCATAAGACAATACTACTGATTTATAATCATTCCAAGTTTTGATACATATCACAATGAACAATATTCCTCAAAACACTAATAGTAACAACGCTATGATTCAAACATCACAACAATTGTTTCTTAGCATCAATCAAGTAACTAAATTACAACTCCCACGCATTCTAACAAAAATACAACATATAATTCTAACATTAATCCACTGATGCAAGACATAATAGGTTGAGAGTAACAAAGAGACTTAAACACCTCCTAAAAACCTATAAGATCCCAATAGAACTATTGAGGAACTATTGGAGGAAATGGACATCGTGAAAGGACAAGGAAAGAAGTGACCCTTGTTCATCTCAGAAAAGTTACAGGTTGACCATAGATTAAACCTTTTGTCACTACATAACCTTTGACTCTTCTTTGGATCCCTACCCTCCCCTAATCGTACTTCTATCAAAATTGTAAGAGTTCTAAGATGATTTCACATGGTCATACGACCAGATGCCTAGTCTACATCACAATCTAGTCAGCCACTTTTTCTACATCAATCCCAATTATAGACTGGTGAAGTAGCCTCGTTAGCACGCCTTTAAGCTTGAGCTAGCCTTAAAAGCTAAGGATGAATTGGAAAGGCTCCTCAAAGTATGCTTCATCAAACCGATATCACAATCCAAATAGCTAGCCGACGTTGTCCCTATTAAGAAAAAGAGCAGTCAATTCAGGTTAGTTCTTGACCAAGATATATCCCCATTTTGTAATCACACAACATAATGGAACTAACCCTTTAACCTGCCAACATCCTATGGCTATGCAATTTTAGAGATCTCAATAATGTTGGCCCAAAGGATGAATTTTCACTGCCAAACATGGAAATCTTGATAGATTCTACAGCTAGCCACGGATTCTTATTCTTTCTAAATGCATACAATGGGCACAATCAGATCTATATGGACCTTATAGTTGCCCTACACACTACCTTCAGGACATCCATAGGCAACTTTTACTACTATATGATAACTTTCAGGACAAATAATGCCGGAACCACTTATTAAAGAGCCTTAACATGTGTGTTTCATGACATGATGCATAAGGAAATTGAATGATATGTTGATGGAAACGGCCAAGAAGAAGACTAATCACATAAAGGACCTAAGGAAAGTATTTATGCTATGTAGGCAATACAATCTGCAATTGAACTCTTTTGAAATGTGCTTTTGGAGTAGAGTTGAGAAAGTTCCTAGGTTATAAGTTTGACCAGTCTGGAATACATCTGAACAACACCAAAGTATGAGCTGTCCTAGAGTTCCCATGTCCATTGAACAAGTCCCAACGCAAGAGCTTCTTAGGGAAAGTATCCTATCTAAGAAGATTCATTCCAAGGCTTGCACTAGAAACCTCACCCCTGTTCAAGCTTATCAAAAAAGGCCAACAAGTTCCAATGGAGTGAGGAACATAGTAAATCCTTTGAACTATTCCCACATGGAGCAGTAAAACCTTCGAACATAGTAAAGCCTTTGAACTATTTCCCTCCTTAGAGCGGCAAAGAATTCAAAAAACGATAAAGGGCACCAGTGCCTAATCCATTATACTAGTAGGACCCTCAAGTAGGTTGACAGGAATTATTCCCACATGGAGTAATAACTCCTAGCCTTATTATTCATGTGCAGAAGTTCAGGCATTATATCCTTAGTCAAAAAATTCTCCTCAAAGCAAAGAGTGACCCCTTCAAGTACTTCGTAGTCCGTTCTCTCTATGGAAGATAGGTAAAATGGCTGATGTATTTGAGTGAGTGTAGTATAGAATATACTCAACTCAGGGTGACTAAATTCCAGGTCATCGTCGATCTTCTAGCAGCCTTCCCTATAGAGGACCCTCTCTACCTTATACTATTTCCAACTCTTTCAATCTGCCACATCAGTAGGATTAAATTCTTCTTAAAATCTCTATTTCAATCTCTCAATTTCCACATTCCTAAAATTCCCACCCACTTTCCAATTACCTAAAATTCTTCTTAAAATCCCTCTTAATCTCTCAATCCCCACTTTCTTAAAATTCCCACATCCCGACATCTATATCCTGCGTACTCTTCTTATTTCCCTTCCTACCCTTCATCTTTTTCCCATTTGCCAACTCCATATAACCACCATCTCAATCACCAAAGTAGATTAGCCACTCTTACCCTATCATCTATTAATGTATAATTAAAATGGAATAAAGGGTGAAACATTAATTTAGATACTATAAATTTGATTTAAATAATAGTGATTTGTTTAAGTTACTAACCTTAATTTTGATAGGATTAATTTTATTACGTTATGTGAAATTTAATTATGTTTAATTATAGTAATCAAATTCAAATTTGATTTTATATGGATGAATTTAAATTTAGTATAACATTAATTTAGATACTATTATTTTGATTAAATTCGATTCAACTAGTAGTGATTTATTTAAGTTACCAACCTTAATTTTGATAGTATTAATTTGAATACGCTAAGTGAAATTTGATTGTACTTAATTATAGTAATCAAATTTAAATTTGATTATATATAGATGAAGTTAAATTTAATATAACATTAATTTAGATACTATTTATTTGTTAAATTTTATTTAAATAATAGTGATTTATTTAAGTTACTACGCAAAATTTTGATAGTATTAATTTGACCATGTTAAGTGAAATTTAATTATATTTCATTACAGTAATCAAATTTAAATTTGATTACATTTAGATTGATGAATTTAAATTTAATATAATTTATTTTCAATAATAGTAATTTAATTAAGTTAGTTATTATTTTGATTATTTTAGTTTAATTAATTTAAATATTAATTAATTATATTTAGATAACTTTAGTTAAACATAAGTAAAAGTAGGGTACTTACTAAAGAAGAAAACCCCACATCCATTGTTCAAGAATTAAAAGAACAAGAACCCGTATCTATTAATTATTTTATTTAAATTTATAGATAAAATACTTAAATTTACCCCAAATGGGGTTGGTGTTCCCTGATCTTAAATGGGGATGGGGAAAATACTTTTTCCCCAAACTAGAGTTAGAGCGGGGATGGAATTTGTATAATTCATCGAACATGGCCCAAACTAG